CCCCCGTGCGAACCCACCCCCGCCCCAAACCCACCGCCCCCTCCCGCCAACGAGGGTGGAGCCTCAGCTCCAACATGGGGGGGTCAGAACCACCCCAACAGAAAACATTTGCCCCCTCGCACCGTACCCAGATGTTTCTGCAGGAAGGCAAGTGCCGCCCTGCAGGTGACGTCCAAGCCCATGTACGGGTCCAGGGCGCCTCTGGTCTGGAACACTCGGTTCAGGAGATTCCCCGCCAGAAAGGTGAAGTCGGTCTGACTCTGATGCACCGAGCCCCTGGGCAAGGGAGAAGGAACGAGTCCTTTGGGCCGGGGTGAAGAGCCCTCCCCAACCACCGGGTCTCGCTGGCTCTACGGCCCTGGGCTGATTCTACGCTGGGTTTGGGACTCCCCCACTGGTGCCTCAGGAACCACAGTACGGCTAGGAGATTCCCCGCCAGAAAGGTGAAGTCGGTCTGACTCTGATGCACCGAGCCCCTGGGCAAGGGAGAAGGAACGAGTCCTTTGGGCCGGGGTGAAGAGCCCTCCCCAACCACCGGGTCTCGCTGGCTCTACGGCCCTGGGCTGATTCTACGCTGGGTTTGGGACTCCCCCACTGGTGCCTCAGGAACCACAGTACGGCTAAGACAGCCTGGCAGAAAAACACCAGTAGCCACGGGAGCTTCTTCGCCATGCTGGTATCCTCTGGGCAGAGCTCCCAAGCCCCCTGAAATCCAGGCCCCCGGGCGTTCGCCCTTGGAATGGGCACAGGACTCGGGCCCCAGTGCAGACAAGGCCCAAGTAACACAACCCACTGCCCACCTGACTCTCACAGCGCTCGGCCGCGTTCTCCACTGGCCTCAGACGCACACAGCTCGGTACGCACGCACGCACGGCCCGCCCGAGAGCCACAGGAGCAAGCAGGCCCCGGCGGAGGGAAGCTCGGCCAGGGGCAGGCACGAGGGTGGGGAGTACCGAGGGAATCTGAAGGAGGGTTTCTGGGTGTAGGAGAAAAGGGAGGCCAAGGGGCAGCAAAAGGCAGAGTCTGCAGGGGGAAGGGGGAACTCCGAGGGAAGACTGAGCACGGGAGACAGAGAAGGAAACAGGAGCAGGACTCTGGAGGCGTCCCAAGCGGAGGCAGGCAGAGGCTGCTGCCCCTTAGCACAGAGAGAGCAGCACTAGGGTAACAGTAACCCTGGGCGGTGTCCAAGCACGTCACAAGGGACAATAAAGGTCCCGGCCCCCTTTGAAAAATGGAGAAACTGGGGCACCCAGCAGGGAGGTGACCTGCCAGGGGCACCCGGCAGGTCAATAGCAGAGCCGGGCTGAGCTCCTGGATCCCAGGCCATGGCCCCGCCCGGCGCGGACTCACAGGATGGTGATGATCTTGGTGTGGTTGTTTCTGGAGCGGAGTCTCTTCATCTTGGCGATGCTCTCTGCCGTCTGAAAGGTCTCTGTGTTGATGAACAGCACCGGCTTGGCCACCTTGGAGTAGAGCGCGTTCTCCAGAGGGAACATCCAGGCGTCAAGAGCCACAGCGCACCTGCAGGACAGACAGGAGGCCGCTCGCTGCTTACCGGCCCGGCTCTAGAGACGCATCCCCAGCTGGGGCCAAGTCCCTGCCGCAGGCTGTGCCAGGTGGACACGATACTCACTTAAAACAGTCCTCTTTAGCAAGGGCTAGAATTGCTGTTGCTCCTCCGAAAGAGTGACCCATTACAGCAACTCTAGTCAAATCCACGCTCTCCTGCAAGGGGGAGGAAAACCGTGAAGCAGCCAACCCCCCAGCCCAAAGCGCCCGCAGGGACAGTCGCTACCTCAGGAAAAGCCAACGTGCTACAGAGACTCTAAGCTGCATTCACAGATGTTCTAGGGCAGTGGTTCCCAACCGACAGCCTGCAGATGGGTGCCGGTCTGTGAACCGCTGGCTGCCAGGCTGCGGCGGCTGTGGCATCTGGGGGTGGGGCACACCGCCCAGCTCCTCCCCTTCTACGTAGCCGGAGTTGTGTACCTTAAGTCAGATTTCCAGGTCCAGCGTAGACCTGGCCTAGCGTTGTCTATGCTGGGGGTTAGGCTGGCATAGCTACACCTGTCGGGCTGTGCATTTTTTTTAAACACTATTGAGATCTGCAGCTACCTCGAGGTTCATTTCCCGCATAGACCAGCTTGTAGAACGAAAGGGCTCGTATGCAATCCTGCAACCAGGGGAAGTCCCCAAGCAGCAGATGCAAAGAGGCACCGGGCCAACCCCTGGAATGGGAGGGTGAAGGGAAGAGAAGTGCTTGTCTCTAGAGAACCCCTCTGGTCCGGCCAGGCACTTGTGGGGCCCTCTGCGTAAAAGCAAACATGCTGCGGAGGAGCTGGAAGAGATGCAATTAAAGGGGACAGAAGTGCTGGGTGGAGGGGAGGCTGCCGCTATTACTGGTGGGAGATGCGATGAAAATAACTGGCTGGCTCTCAGTGCAGCCCTGGGGGGGCTTCCATGAATGCCCCTGCAATCTGCCCCGCAATGGTCTGTCTGGAAGAGCTGGCTGGAGATACCTTCAGTGCAGACAAATCAAACCCCCTGTGCAAGACATTGGTGACGGCCTTGCCGCTGGCGATGTCCTGCATGAGCCGGAGCCCTCGCACACACTCGTTGGCTCTTTGACGAACCTGTAATGAAAGTGCCCCCGGTTGAGTCTTTCCTGCAGAGCGGTCACCCGCACGGGGCGCCTGATACGGAGCAATCAGCTGCTCTCCTCAAACGTCCTTTGTCTAAGTTCAACACAGTGATCTGCACAGATTAGCGAGTCGAATGACTCCAAGTGACGTCAGTAAGTGTCATACCCCTGTAGGGACACACGGAAACATTCAGGGCAGGGTCTTGTGGGAGAAAAATCAAATAACTCCAATTGTGTCTAAAGGGGGGACGGTGCAGGAAATCAAAACTCTCTAAAAGAAAACTGCTGAAAGGGTTAAAAGTTTTCCAGGCCTCTCTCCCTGTAACAGAGAGAAATCAAACTAACTTTAATCAAGACCCTTACAATGCCTCCTATCTCAAGTTCATGGATACTCCTAGTCTGTCACAATTTGTCATGTAAACCCTTATCTTTGTCAGTTTGCCTTGTAGACTCCTCCACTCAAGTTCTCATGTGGCTTTGTTCTGTAAAACTTACTTCTAGCACTCCTGGTGTGAACAGAAAGTCTCAGAGTGCTTCTGCTGAGACTTTGATATGTTAAAGGAAACAATCAACAACTACTGTCTGAACATACTGTATAAAGAATCCCTGAAACTGTCTCTCAGGGCTGCTGCTGCTCACTCTGATAGCGGTCAGCCTGCATGCATAATAAAGTTTTCCTTCTAGGTTTCTCTCCTGCCTCACTGCTTTGACCTCCAGCCTTGGACCCTTCTGGGGGCTCTGTACCCCTGGGGAGCGAGATTTCCCCCACAGTCTCCTCTCACTTACGCCACTTTTACCTCTGTGGAACACCACTGACTGCAACAGGGTCACTCCTCGCAGCGGGTACGTCTACACTTGCTCCCTCGTTCAAACTAGGGATGCAAATGTAGCCAACCGAAATTGCTAATGAAGCAGGGATTTAAATATCCTGCACTTCATTAGCATAATCTCGCCCACATGCTATTCCACTCAACAGCTGATTTGAACCAGGAAGTGCGCTCTGGGACTTGTTAGTTGGAATCAAACCCCTTGGTTCGAACTAACGTTACTTCTCCCGGGGTTTGATTCGAACTAACGCGGCCCGGAGAGCACTTCCTGGCTCGAATCAGCTGTTGAGCGGAATAGCACGTGGCCAAGATTATGCTAATGAAGCACCGGATATTTAAATCCTGCGCTTCATTAGCAATTTCGGTCGGCTACATTTGCATCCCTAGTTTGAACTAGGGAGCAAGTGTAGACGTACCCTTACACTGCTTCACATGAGCATAAAACCAGGCCTCTGAGACTTGCCCAGGACCTCGAGAGGTCGAGGCCAGTCCCCTGCCCTCACGGCAGGACCAAGCACCATCTACACCATCCCTGAAAGGCGTCTTTCCAACCTGCTCTTCAATATCTCCAGTGATGGAGATTCCACAACCCCCCTAACCAATTTATTCCAGCATTTAACCATCCTGACAGGCAGGAAGTTTTTCCTAATGTCCAACCTCAACCTCCCTTGCTGAAGTTTAAGCCCGTTGCTTCTTGTCCTGTCATCAGAGACCAAGGAGAACAATTTTTCTCCCTCCTCCTTGTAGCATCCTTTTAGATACTTGAAAACCACCATCATGTCCCCTCTCAGTCTCTTCCTTTCCAAACTAAACAAGCCCAGTTCTTTCAGTCTTCCCTCATGTTCTCTAGACCTTTAATCATTCTTGTTGCTCTTCTCTGGACCCTCTCCAATTTCTCCACATCTTTCTTGAAATGTGTTGTCCGGAACTGGACACAATACTCCAGTTGAGGCCTAATCAGCGCAGAGTAGAGAGGAAGAATGACTGCTCGTGTCTTGCTCACAACACACCTGTTAATGCAGCCCAGAATCATGTTTGATTTTTTTAGAACAGCATCATGCTGTTGACTCATATTTACCTTGTGGTCCACTATGACTCCTAGATCCCTTTCTGCAGGACTCCTCCTAGACCATCGCTTCCCATTCTGTATGTGTGGCACGGATTGTTCCTCCCTAAGTGGAGCACTTTGCATTTGTCCTTATTAAACTTCATCCTCAGACCATTTCTCCAGTTTATCCAGATCAGTTTGAATTATGACCTTATCCTCCAAAACAGTCGCAACCCCTCCCAGCTTGGTATCATCTGCACACTTAATAAGGGTACTTTCTATGCCAATATCTAAATTGTTGACGAAAGTATTGAGCAGAACCAGTCCCAAAACAGACCCCTGCAGAACCCAACTTATTATGCCCTTCCAGCATCACTGTGAACCATTAATAACTCAGCACCTTGAGTATTCTGGGATGCATTTCATCAAGCCCTGGTGACTTGCAGACATCTCACTTTTAGAAGTCATTTTTAACTTGTTCTTTTTTAATTGTATCTTCTAAAGCTACCCCCTTGCCACTAGCATTCACTATGTTAGGCATTCCTTCATCAGACGTCTTGGTGAAGACCAAAACAAAGAAGTCATTAAGCACCTCTGCCATTTCCAAGTTTCCTGTTATTGTTTCTCCCTCCTCACTGAGTAATGGGCCTAACTCTAACCTTGGTTTCCTCTTGCTTCTAATATATTTATAGAAAGTCTTCTTGTTACCCTTTATGTCTCTAGCAAGTTTGAGCTCGTTTTGTGCCTTTGTCTTTCTAATCTTGCCCCTGCATTCCCGTGTTATTTTCTTATATTCATCCTTTGGCAATTTGTTCTAGTTTCCACTTTTTTATATGACTCCTTTTTGATTTTTGATCATGCAAGACCTTCTGGTTAAGCCAAGCTGGTCTTTTGCCAAACTTTCTATCTTTCCTACGCAGTGGAATAGCTTGCTTTTGGGCCCTTAATAAAGTCCCTTTGAAAAACTGCCAACTCTCTTCAGTTGTTTTTTCCCTTAGCCTTGCTTCCCATGGGACCTTACCTACCAGCTCTCTGAGTTCACTAAAATCTGCCTTCCTGAAATCCATTGTCTCTATTTTGCTGTTCTCCCTTCTACCATTCCTTAGAATCACGAACTCTATGATTTCATGATCACTTTCACTCAAGCTGCCTTCCATGTTCAAATTCTCAACCAGTTCCTCCCTATTTGTTAAAATCAAATCTAGAACAGCTTCCCCCCAGTAGCTTTTTCAACCTTCTGAAATAAAAAATTGTCTTCAATGCTGTCAGTCTCTATTTTGCTGTTCTCCCTTCTACCATTCCTTAGAATCACGAACTCTATGATTTCATGATCACTTTCACTCAAGCTGCCTTCCATGTTCAAATTCTCAACCAGTTCCTCCCTATTTGTTAAAATCAAATCTAGAACAGCTTCCCCCCAGTAGCTTTTTCAACCTTCTGAAATAAAAAATTGTCTTCAATGCTGTCATGATCATGAGGGTTAGCCAGCAGGCTGGGGACTAAGGGGTTAACTATACCTAACTTAGCCAATAGGAATATAGGTAGGAATCTCAAACTATGACAAAGGGTTTTTGGGTTTCCCTCCTTTGTCTCCAGCTATTGAAGGGGACAGGATGTCTCCCTCTAAAAAAATACGCTTCACAGTCTGTAATAGGATAAGGTTTAGATAAATCTGTTAGGTTTTACTGTTTTATGGTTTGGGAAATGGGATGTGATGTCTGTGCATTTTTTAAAATGGGTTTTGCTCTCCTTGTAATTAAGTCTTGGCCCACGGTGGGGTTTCTCCCATGAGTATATTCCTTTGTGACTTTTCCATCTAGTCATGATGCTTGCAACAGGAATATTGTAGTGATAATAAAAGTTCTTTCTCTTTTCCTTTATTAACCTGGTATTGGTTAATCTACCCGGGCGAGTAGATTGACTAATTTGTCGAGCCCTGCTCATCGTCATCATCATCATCAACAACCATGGGTTCAGACCCGTTGGTGTCCAATGCCTCCCTCACTATTTCCTTCCAACAGTTTCTATAGACTAGCTCTGCACCAATCTACTATGTCATCTCCCCATTCTCTGGGGGGTCTGCCTCTCCTATTCGGACCATCCATTATGCCAAATACCAGGATCTTCACTTTTCACTCGTCGTTCATTCTGCAGATATGCCCAAATAGCTGTAGCTTCCGCTGTATAACCTTCTGCAGTAGGTTCACTTTCAGCTGTATCTTCCTATATAATTCCTCATTGGCGACCTTCTGCATCCATCCTATTCTCAGGATTTTTCTATAACAACTCCTCTCGAATGCCAGCATCCTTCTCTTTGAATCTTTCATTATCACCCATGTCTCACATCCGTACAACATGCTGCTAAATATACACGTTTTCAAGACACTCAGCTTCGTTCCTAAGCTAATCGCTTTACTTGTAAACATTGTTAATTACCTGTTATTACAAGTAAACATCACAGATTCCTAAAACAGAAATGAGGTGGGGGACTCAGAGCAGCACTGGAAACCGCATTTAATCCAGTTTTTTAAAAGCAGGATGCATTTCAAGTTGCCATTGTCATTTTAAATGGCGCAGAAATCGATAGTTGGAGCCCCTACCAGGGAACTTTCCTACATGCTTGGGGTGAGCAGGCAATTGGAGTTGTTATGCCAGTCCAAAACAGCAACGGGAGAAATCTCATAAGAAGTTAAAGGCCAGAGTGCAGACAAGCGCCTGAAAGTTTGGAGGCCCATCTGACACTTAGCTCAGTCTCTCTTGGTTGCAGAACTAAGCCGGAAACAAAAACAGGTACCCAAGAGCATTCAGGTAATTTTCTATTTCCAGTGAAGCAGGAAAAACCAGGCGTGCTGCCCTTTGCCTTGGCCTGAACACAGACACAGAGGGTGCGTCTAAACCGCACCGTAGCTTAAGAGAGGATATGCAATTTGCGTAGCTCAAATCTTATTTCAATCTTATTTCAAAATAGCTTGGTGCCAAATTTTGAAATAACCTGCTATTCCGAAACATCCCTTACTTCTCGTGGAATAAGGCTTACAGACGCTGGAATAGCGAACCCTGTGTATTTCGAAATAATGGGCTTGCTGTGATGACGCAGGATAGCTATTTCGGGATACTCTGGAATCCCGAAATAGCGCAGCAGTGGAAACGTAGCCAGAGAGGCTTGCAAAAGCGTGAAAGGCAACGTAGTAAACTGAATGGTTCAGCTGGGATCTGGTTTCCTGGGGTGCTGGGTTGAGAGGCTCACTGGCTCCCCTCCAAAGTGACGTGAGCACAGAAAATGTTCATAGAACACGGCCCCTCCCTGTGCTGAGCTGGTCTGCAGACTCCACTGCCGCCACTGCTCTCGCTTCACACTTCCAAGCTTTTCTTTGCAACTACGACTGCACTTTTGTAAAGGAAAAGAGATTCTAGTATCACGTGACCCTGGCATCATCATGTGACCCTCCACACATGCCCATTGTGCATATGCCTTAAACTCAATGCAGGTGCCATGGATTTTGCCCTGTCTGCCAGCCCCACCCGTCCTGGCCCTCCGCTCATACCTGTGGGTTTCGAACGTGAAATTCCTTCTGCCCTTCTTGGACCCTTCGAAATGGGATCCACTCCTCCTGCAGTGCAGCCTCCAGGGAATCGGACTCCCCCCTCCACACATGCCCATTGTGCATATGCCTTAAACTCAATGCAGGTGCCATGGATTTTGCCCTGTCTGCCAGCCCCACCCGTCCTGGCCCTCCGCTCATACCTGTGGGTTTCGAACGTGAAATTCCTTCTGCCCTTCTTGGACCCTTCGAAATGGGATCCACTCCTCCTGCAGTGCAGCCTCCAGGGAATCGGACTCCCCAGCCTCTGCCTTGCAAAAGTCCGTTGCACAGGCAGACTGGGCCCCGGGGGAGG